TTTCCTAGTTTCATGGAAAATTTCGCCGGCCTTAGTATTTTAGTATCACCATTTTTCTATTTGTATTTTTTTATTAAAAGAAAAAAAACTTATGCTAGGGACCAACCGGCCAAGCTCTCTTATACGTAGCTGAAGTGAAGAAACTCATATATTATAATCTAATAAGAGACAATTTTATTTTTTCTTCGTCAACCACTACAGATCCTTACAGGAAAAATACAATTCATATTAAGATGGCTTTACATGCATGCTACTACCATCTTTAAGCTTAAACTGAAAATTATTTCCCTTGGCCTTCCAATCAGCATGTAGTTACGTGATTAATGTGCTTTTTGCAATATTGATTGTGAGGCATGACAGAACATTTGATGCAGTACCTTCATCGTGATGTTTTGCTTTTAGCCATCCAAGTCAATATGGGTCCTTGATTCATAAATGTGCTACCAAATATGAGATATTTCACCTCATCAAGGTTGTATTCGTGGTAGATATCACCTCTTATTTGCCCTTTCATTAGTATGATCTTCCAGGGAAGTATCATCAAGATAGGCAGGGAGATAAATGACGCAATTAATGAAGTGTAGTGTTTACCTGGGTATATTCCATATTGCAATGCCGCATAACTTACGAAATATAGAGCAAGAGCTACCAAGTATAACTTTTGGAGTAGATCAAGTATAAGTATTGCACACGTTCCCATTGCAAGACCAAAGGCGATTGAGTTGAAAATCAAATCTAGTTCTTCCAGCCATTGGAGTTTTTTGTCTAAGTTGGTGCTAGTTGAATTGGTTGAAGTAGATGGAGCATTTAGTTCTTGAAACATAGCAGTTGCAATAAGCACAAGTACTACTAGGAAAGCATTTCGCATGTCCGCTGACAAACCGAACTCCATGTAAGCACCAAATTTGATAAAAAAATCTTCCATCGTCATATTTGACTTCAAATAATATTCACAATTGGTGGCATCATCAAGTACTGATGAACCTTCTTTAGCTCCTGCTCTTATTAAAACTTTCCTTGCTTCAAAATTTTCAGGTTCTAGGATATCCAATGCCGTCTTACCTCCTAAGTTCTTCTTATTCACAGGCATATACTTGATTAATGACTTCATAACCTGAAACCATAAACAAGAAGTTTTGTAAAATTATATCTGAACAAAAACAAGTGTTTACCAAACAATATATTAGGCAAATTGTTGTCAAACAACCTCCTAAACAATGATATTAATCATTAATTATTCAGTCGGCATCAACCAATGAATGAAGTGAAACATCGACACCACGATTGTACCGACCTAAACCTATAACCTAATTGGGTCATTGGAAGTAGCGTAATTTATTAGAGTTACTCATGGCCCAACTCATTTTGGTTGATAGCCCATTTACCACTACATATTTGTTCTTGGGCTAAACTATTACCTAACGTAAAAGCCCACTACTATGCTGTATATGTTGACCCCAGTTTGGCTTCTGGCTATTCGTGAAAGTGTTATTGTTTTGCCCCCTTTGTGTGAGTGAAATAGGTTGCCTCTACTTCGTGTTCTCTACCTCGCGTTTTCTTTTTTCATCTCTTTTTAGCCTTTGTGGCTCTTATTGTGGCTAAATTATAACAGTCCATGCCGTGTCCTTTGTGGGCAATACTAAGCAACCTAGATCGTGGTGGTTGTAGGTTTGGTTTTGGGTTTTGGAACTTCGTGATATCGATTAGGTATTCTTATGAAATATTGAGCCCAAAAATCTTGGAGTCAATATTCCGCTCAACTTTTGGTATCAGAGCCTTCGTGACATGGTTTGAAAGTTTCGACCAAGACTAGAAATAGGTCAGAGAAAGCTGATTCAAGTTCGGCTTGATTTTTCATTTTTCACCTAAACCTGTAATTGCGCTTAATGGCCAAACCAGTGGCCGTTTGTAAAATCCAATGCCACATGGAGCTTCTATAGGTGGAGGTGCACCCGGGTCCACTGCGCGTGGAGGCGCGTCCAATGTGATTTGGGGAAAGTTTCTTTAGACAGTTTTATCCTAACGTGATTTCTGAAGTGTTTTTGGTATTAGTTTTTTGTTTCATGTGATATGGTGAAATCTGAACGGTTTTGCCCTTGCGCATTTCTGATTCAATTTTGCATTCGATTAGTTGCGGGAGACTTTAGGACAAATAGTTGTGGCCGTAAAGTGTTAAAATCATATTTCTCGTTATTTACGGACTCAGATAGGTCCGCTCTGTTAAATTGGCCGATCCTGTTTAATTTTCAACACTAGCACTTCATCGTGTGGGGGTGACAATAGGATTGATGTTACCGTGTAGGATAGCCATTGCCTATGTTAGAAATTAGGAACTACTTGCTTTTTTTGTTGCTAAGTGATTAAATTGTTTATTTGATAAACTTCAACATATTATCTCTGTGATATATTGTGAGTGAAACTGTTTGGTTGACATACTTCTTGTTGTACTGTTAAGTTGCTAGAATACCAAAACCTTACCCATTTGAACATTCTCTTAATCTAAGATCGAGAATCTTACGAAACCCTGGGTATTTAAAACGGTTTATATTAGTGACCTACGTCTACTTTGTGTAGTTTAATTGTTATTTTATATTTTTGATTGATTATTAAAAATGACCTCTCACAATTTTGATTTGGGAATTTTTTAACAAAAAAATATGATTTTTCAATCTGGCAACAAAAAATAAGAGGTATTTTAGTTCAACAAAAGGTTTCAAAATCATTGATGACAATTTTTCTTGCTGATTTCTCAAAAGAACAAAAAGAAAAAGCTG